ACTTATTGAAACCTCCTTGGAGACAGTAAACTTTTATACGGATGGTTCATTCAGCTTGAATACTTCAATTAATCATTTATTATAACATTTCTATCATAAATGAGTGAAAGTTACCCCAAAAATTTTATTTATTGGCCTAAAAAGTAGGGATTTTGAGGAAATGACAGGTATAAATGGACCAAAAGAGACCTTATAAGGAAGACAAAGAGGTCCATTAGTAGTATTTATCATCCTAAAGTCATCTTTTGTATCAACTGTTTGTAGGCAGATGAGATAAATATTTGATCATTTATTGGTCCACACTATATTCTATCATGATGCGGCATGGTTTGGATTTTTCGAAGAAATTTTGCTCGAAACACTGTAGATGTCGTCTTACATTATACTAGATTTTTCTCAAACTATTGAACTGATTATGACAAAACTTGACAGGAATGCTTGAAATAACCAGTATTACAAAGGAAAAAAGTAACATTCTGTTTATCTAACAAACAAGTCTTCTTTAGGTGTAATACCACCAAATTATAGTACGTCACATCCGGTTGCATACGAAAATAGGTCGAAAAAAAATATTCCCTTGAATTTGACAGTTGTAGGTAATTGATCCTACATTTCATTGCAGTAAAACATTTCTGGGTCATAAACATATATCTTGGGTATTTCAAAGAACCATTATTTTTTTATTTGGGGTTTCTATAGAATATTTTAGAAACATGAGGTTACATGGTTACTAAAGCTTGTACACAGGTTAAAAAAGGGGGAAAATTTGATTGGTTAACTTCCAGTGATGGTTATTTTCTTATATGCAATGAAATGTTATCTGAAATTTTTTCTATAGTACTGGACAGGATAAAACTTTACTCATGCCAAGTATTTCTTTATTCGAAACAAAGATAAATTCTGCACAATTTTTTGAAAAGTGCAAATTTAACAAAGACTAATAGGGGATATAATGGTGGTATTACACCTACTACAAATTTGTTTTCCCATTATTTTGTTTTCCTATATTTTTGAAAAGTTTTAGATCTTTTGCAATATCGTATACTTATTTATAGATTTTTGTGTCAATTCTTCCACAGAAAAATGCAACTTTAGGTAAACTTTATTTACTTTTAAATAATTATTTGTTTTCAACCAAAAAAATATACATATCTTTACGTTTCACGCCCAGCAACTGAATATGCAAAATTTTATCGGCCACCCTATAATTCTAGAAAATGTTTTACACAAACTTTGTGCTGTTTTAACTAAGCAAGTTTTTTTTCCAAAACTAATTTGTCAATTTTTAGAAAATATATATAATGAACATCTACAAATATTGCACGATAACTGTGCAAATATTTATCAATCTTGGTGTAGTCATACTGACCATAGGACATACACGGACAGATAAATGGCTCTTGGCCGAGTCCGCTTATCTTCATGTTTAATGTAACAGTTTACAGATACATGTATACAGGTAACATTACATGAAAAAAATTTTAAACTCATATTCAAAGTAAACAAAAACATCTTAATATCAAAAAGAACAAGTCTATTAGCATCGGGAACAAAATTATCGCTCTGGAGTCATTATTGTGGCCACTGCATTACTTGCTAATTTTTTTTTATGCCCATATTTCAATAAGGTAAGAGCTGGTGACCTTTTTTTATAATTTAGATATAATTAATTACAAATGAGTACAACACACTGTACAAATATTATGAAGAAAGCGCATTTGTGAAATTTTTTTTGTCGAGCCTGCGACTTATAAGCCCGACATGGGGATAGTGATCCGGCACGACGGCCGCGGTAGCTGCTAAAAACCTTAATATTTCAGAAGGTAGAAGACCTGGATGCTTTATACTGTGTATAGAGATGCTTTATGTTATGACGTTTCCGCCTGTCATATGTACTTTGTTTCTGACCTCATTTTCGTGGTTCAGAGACTATTTGAAAAAAAGTTATGTCTCTAATATATCGAGTAAAAGGATATCTATATCTAGTTTGTGCATACCTTGCATGATCCGCATGCCTGTCAGACACTATTCACTTAACCATGACCTCAATTCATGGAACAATGAACACGGTTAAGTTTTCGTGGTCAAGTTCATATCGCAGATACAATAAGCAAAAGGTCTATTATTTTGGGTGTATGGAATGATTGTAAGGTGTATATGTCAAACTGACAGGTGTCATCTCACCTTGACCTCAATTCATGGTCATTGGTCAATGTTAAGTTTTCCTGGTAAAGTTTGTTTTTTAGATACTGTATTTGATCCATGGAATGATTGTAAAGATTACATGTGTGTCTGGCAGGGTTCATCTGACCTTGATCTCATATTCATGCTTCATTGGTAATAGTTTTCATAGATCGAACTGTTTGTTGTATACTATAAGCAATAAATCAACTGTTTTCAATGTATGGAATAATTGTAAGGTGTACATGGATTTGTGGCTTGGTTTATCTGACCTTGACCCCATTTTTTTGGATCATGTTAAGGTATAGTGATACTTGTACGTGTAGTACAATTTTATATTAAGTGCTATCAAAAAAAAAATCAATGGTAGTAAAGCAGGCGAGACATTTCAGCGTGTGCTTTTATTGTCTTAAAGATATGCACTATGAAATGAATGTGATTATAACATCACGAATGATTAGATGTGTAAAACAGTGGGACGTGCTTTTGTTCGCGTTTCCTCTAATAGGTAGTTTCTACGCGCGAATATAGGACCTTCTTTTCCCCAATTTATTTCAGTTGGAATTTGTAACAATTGCTGGACGTTTCCAAAAACGTTTGCCTCTTCTGTAAGTTAGATCAATGCTGTAATGTACATATACATGTGTGTTGAAAACAAATAGTACTTTTCCAGTTCAAAATATTGATTAAAAGTATTTATAATACATTTAACAAATATGATTATGTGGTTACCATTCAAAGAAAATCTAAACGACACAATCATTTATTTTTTTACACATGTAAGTGGATTTTATCATATACACATGATACGAATCAAACAAATGTAAACATAATATACTGTAACGATGACATGTAACTTCTTCCAACCTTGACGTTCAGTGGTTGATGGATAGATATAAGAAGATGTGATACGAGTGCCAATGCGACAACTCTCCATCCAAGTCTCAATTTGTAAAAATAAACCATTATAGGTCGAAGTACGGTCTTCAACACAGAGTCCCGGCTCACATCGAACAGTAAGATATAAAGGGCCCCAAAATATGACTAGTATAAAACCATTCAAACAGGAAAACGAACGGTCTAATCTATATAAAAAAACGATAATGAGAAACACTTCTCTGTATTATTGGCAATCATATCACATATCATTATTGTTGTGTTGTACAAGTGGTTTGAATGATCAGATAACAGTCTTCTGATTTTTTCATTGTGACGTTATTAACAAAAGTGACCATTCCAGATGACGTCACATATGAAGAACACAACATTCTGCTAATCTTTTAAAACGCAGAAAAAAAATCATAAGAGAAACAGATTCTACCATTATAACTCATGTATCACGATATTTCTTCTTTCTCAACAGTACAATTTTAATCAGTTAAAAGCTCGACGAGCCTCGTGCTTAAAATATCAAAATTTATCTGTCTTGAGTGGAGAAATATCGTATCATACTTGTTGCAGTGAAGGAATCTATATTGACATGCATTCGTTTGTGTTAAGAAATAGAACAAATATCCCCACAACAACTAAGTCGCATACAGACTACTAAATGTATCACTGACGGAAACAGCATTCAGTTATTTAACATATTTTGACCGATTTGCACAAATCATGGTCAAACAATATCAGGAGTGAATTTCTAAGTACTGGACGATGTTAACACGTACTTGAAATTTTTTCTCTGGACTGTTTGTGTGTAATATGTTTAAAATGTTAACTTGTTGTTACTGCTCTTCTTTTTACGCACTAATTTCATTAATCAAACCGAAAACAGAAATGCCCCTCCCCCAAAAATATCAATTTTTATATCAAAAATAAGAAACGCGTGAGTTCTTTATGAGATAAGCAAGTAATGTCTGGTCTTTAAAGCACTGTTTAATGCACTCATAACTTTTATAGATGCTAGGGGCGGGCAGTTTCAAACTTGACTCATTTTCCACTGCTTAAGCTAACATGATTTGGTCTCAGATATATTCAGTAGTTATTTACTGAATACAGTGATGTTCTTTTTGTGAGGTAAATTTCAATATTGATATGTTTAGCCCTTTCTGCTAAAAAACACTTTTTTGAACAAAGACACAATTACAACTTTAACAGACATTTGAAAGTTATTTAAATGGTAAATTCATTTGTAACTTTCAACAAAACATAACTACTGTTTTCAGAATAAATTTAGTAGTTTCAACATTTTCACAATCTCAATAAATATTTTTGTTTTAATGTTGTTTTTTTTTTAAGAAATACTGCTTTCGTTGTCAGTAATTGTAAAAAGTTATTTAAAATCTCCCTCACGCAAAGCTCTGATTCCTTAACCGACTTTTGCTTTATTATTTTCACTCATTTGTTTTAACGGCTCTTCAATTCTTAAATGTTTGTCTTCGAGCTTAAGAGACTAAAGTTGTCGAAAAGGGCATCTGATGCATTAAAATTGGTACCGTTTATGTTATTTTCTGTCCAAAGACTACAACTCCTTTACAAAAGTCCTACGCTGATCTTCTGATTCTTATGATAGGACTAATTATCAAAATATATAATCAATTGGTTCAGTCATTCCATGACAACTTTGGAAGCCATATACTTTCAAGCAATGCTTTGTCCAAGGACAAACATATCTGCAAACCTTATTCAACTGGACAAAACGTAAACATACGACCGCCACTGATGAGTATTGTGTGAAACAAGCGTTTAACGTCCTAAATAGTAATCTTATTATCTCTGATTACTTTGTTTTCAGGTCAACAGGTCTATGTGCTAAATCACGTCTTAATCAAAACTTAAATGATGAAATTACTCATTGCTGTTTTGAATTTTCTTTTACAGAAAGAAGATGGATCAGAAGTCGCTAAATAAGGTAATTATAATGATAAATGATAAAATCATATGATTTAAATGTTTTTTTTGTATGTAACGGTATATTTTTTAAATTTAGAATATACCGTATTCCAAATTCGAATTTTGACGTAGCATAAATTTCAAGAGTTTAAATCCCTATTGCGTATAGTAATTTTCTAATGTTTACTACGTTTGTATTATGACAGTTTATGAACAAAGTTAATGAACACAGATTGGTATTTGATATTTTACTATTAACAAAGTATTGTTTTCATTCAATAACATGTTGTTCTTCGTTATCACCGAATTAGACTTAACACAAACTGTGCTACTATGAGCAACACGACGGATACGCAGTCTTACGAATGAATGTCAAATGTTGTTTTTCTCTACTGGTTTTTCATTTATGCCATGATTTCTCTTCTACTCATGATTTTGTTATTCTCTCCTTGGTATATTCCACCTTTTTTTATTTATCAATTAGTATTAATAATATTAACTACTGACTCAGAATACAAATAAAGTCAAACGTACTTAGGTTTGATACGCTTTATTGACTGCCTTATTGTTATATTGTTTAGTTTGCTATAAATTAACACAAATGTGCCGTTTCATGGTATAATAATTACAAAACCATTTTGTTGTATGGTTGTTTGTGCCAAAAGGTTCACTTTTCTTATTGAAGTATACCCCACATTTTCTAAAATTTACATTTTTGATATTCGTGTGAATTTCTTTGTAGAATAAAATAGAATAATGAATCAAAGGAGATGTCAGCCGTCAGGAATACGCAGTAAAATGACGCAATGAGAAATATTTATTTATTAATCAAAATAAGAGATTTTACCACTGCATACGATAACAAATGCATAATCTCTTTTATTTTCTGTATTGTTTTCTTTAACATTAAATTATTTGCATAGTGTAGATTAAATGCACTAGTAATCAGAAGTATTGCCCCGAACAGTATATCACATTACAGGAGCTGCTAAAAAAGCACCAAATATTGACGCAACATTAATAACACTTCATCCGATTCCTGCAAAAGTGATGCTTGCATTATGAATGCAATATCCATATATGCCATCTTATTTATCTCCCGTTCGATGGCGTGCACATGTCTTTTTACTCTTAACCTTTTCAGTGTATACCAAACTTTAAGGAGTAGGTGTATATTGGTATAATTGAAGTAATACCAAAGAATGTACAAAGGGAGATCAGTAGAAAGTGTTTCGAACAATGGTTATTTTTATTTTACGAGGAAATTCACATGAAGTATTACACATACTACATGTACTATATTATAAAAACCATTGCTAGTATTCCAAATTAAGGATACTCGTCAAATAACATGAGTGTGTTTTTCTTTACAGGATCTGAAGTTTGCTGTTTTTTTGGGGGAATTAGAAAAGGTCAGGGATTGTCTTGACAAAGGTGCAGATGTAAACGATTCACACGGTGAATGGGTAAGGATAATAAAATAGGCAACCTAATGAATCAATGGTTTTAGGTAAACGATCCCTCAGTGATCATATCTTTGAGAAACGTATTTCTAAAAACTAATCTGACAAAGAATGTATTAATCGGTCGGTTGGATATTTTTTTTATTTTTAAACAAGTGTGAAAACAGATCAGTGTGGATAGTAAGTTTGGATGTTTGATAGTGTTTTTTGACATAAAGAGGTATCTGGTTTTCTCCTATAGGGTTCTATGTTGAACAGTGACAGCAAATCTGTACCAAACACTTAAATAGCAGTGTCTTTTATTTAATATTTAGTTTTAATGTTCAAGACTGTCATGGAGGAGACACTAATTTAAATCAGTGCCAACCGTTCAAAGATTTTATTTAGTTAGACATTGCTTTTAGTATCAAATCTACATATTGGCCAACATGCTTTGAGTGCTTCGTGAATATAAATATGTACGTTTCTGTAATTAAATTTTGTGCATGTGCAACGTTCCATTTTGGGGTTTTCCTTTCAACATTTTAACTTTGGAATAACTTCTTTTTGAATACATTTATCATTTTTAAAAAAGATCCGTTAATGGAACACAGCTAGCTGAGTATGCTCCAACCCTGGGGAGATTTACTTAAAGAAGCAGAAGATTGCAAATATTCTCAAATGATTCCGATAAAATATGTTCCACAATTTTGATTTCGGATAGCAGCAAAAACTCAAAAAAGAAGAGGATCACATAAGGTGCATTTCTGCATGATGTGATTTTAATATGCGAGATGGTATCCGAGGACCTGCAAGCATGAAGTATTTGTATGGTTCTATTTTTGTTCCTTTGAGATGTTAATTTCTTTGTGGTTTGTCCACATAAAACTGTAAATTTGCTCAGGGTCATCACAGTATCGTTAGTAAAAGATGTTGTCTACATGTCTAAATTGTTTCTATGAAGACTTATTATGGTTTTGAGTAACAACAATATACGAATTATGTCAGATATCAATACAGATGCCCAAAACTCCTACAAACTGATAAAAAGTCTTTTAGATATGAACAGGACTGACGGACAAAAGGATTAAAAAAAAATATACTTGCTAACATTACCAGTATGTATAAGTGAACGATCATTTAAACTCAGGACTCATCAGTAGACAGCACATTTTGTCATGTTTTTAAAAAGTCCCACAAAACCACCTAGCGTTATATTGCTAGTAGCACGAGCATTGTTTGGTAAATTTGTACTTTTCTTTATTTGGCTTCTTGACAAAAAATGTTCGGTTTAGGTGTAAATGAAATGCTTTAATCTCCCCTTAAATACTTACATCGAATGGATGCTTCCTCAACAACTCCTTGTGCTGACAGTTGTGATCATCTTACCTTACCTCATGTGCAATTGTGAGTTGTGTGCCAAATCTTTATTTCACAAAGAATGCATTTGCATAGCAATTTGATAATACACTTAGACAAAAAGCTCAATCCAGTGTTATACTTTGTTATAGAAGCCTATCATGAACATTCACCCTTCATAACCACCTCTGACCATCGATGATCCAACAAACATGCCAAACAACATGGATCAGAAGTCTTGAAAAAGGCATATTTATTTATATTATATATACGTATTCCAACTAAAACATATTTAGGTGTGGTAAAACATTCAGTTGCTAGCAAGTAGTTGTCACTTCATGCACACATTAATTGTATATGCTGAGTGTCCTTATTTTTTTGAAATAAGAACATTGATGTCTATTTTACAGACTAGCCGCAGTGAAATCAAAGTTTTATAAAATGTTAGGTTGAACCTAATACTTAAAAAAGTTGTGAAACATTAAAAATATTTCAAATATTTCAACAATTAGCTGTACTTTTAGTTTTTATTTTTTCGATTGTTTGAAATTGCGTATTGACCTCTAGACGTCTTTCAATTATCTTTGGCATTTGGGTTGTTTTCTTATTGTTAGACATGAATATATTCACTTGGCATTTATTTGAAAGGAATATGACATGTTTTTTTAAGATGATGTTGATGATGGTCTTATTGTAATTTTCTGAGGTTTGACCTTTTAATTTTAAGATGTAACATGCCCAAAATATTTTATTTTGTTAAATTCTTGATCAATATATAATTACGTGCAGTTTCATTTAAGGCCATTAAAAATAGGTGTGTTTCCTGTTGCATACTCCCAAAAAATTAGTTTGAAGGTCCCAAAAAATCGTACTAGAAAAAAATACTTGTAAGTCATTACTATTTCAGTTTAACTTTATACAATCAATTTTTGTTGTAAGTTTTTGTGAACCAAATATGTGGATATGATGTCAGTCCTGAAAAATGAAATTGAAACACAAATTTTATATCATTCGAAAAATTCCTTGGCTCACACCGAACAGCATGTACATGTATATATGTAACTTTCACATACGTGTTCATTAAAACCACAAATCGCCCAGACATGTTAATTTCACAATCCCAAATGGTCCAATTATTTACTTCATCAAAATGTGTCTGAATATTTACTCTCCCAAATTTAAGATGTCCAATAATTGTTATTTGACAAAAACTTGTCAACTTGATAAAAACTTTAAGCTCAACTATGTCCTCAATATTTATGCACAAAGGTTCTGACATTCATTGATGAGTAAACAGACACCAAATATTAGGATAAATGGGGAATATGTCCATGGGACACAGATGATGCCCCCGCTTTGATATAGGATTATAAAGATACATAACTGAAGAAGGTAAAAGTGACACTACCCAAATGTGTGCTTCATCTGTTTTTTTTTTGTGGTAATAAGCATTGTGTTTTAGTTTCATAACATTTGCTTGAGAAAAACTTAAGTTTGAGAACAAAAACGAAAAATTCTGTAATTTTTCCATTTGTAAAGGTGCAGAACTCTAGAACAGTAAAAGTGAGGCCACAAAAATTCAAACATCATCTATGTTTTGTGGTAATAAGCTTAAGCATTGCATATAAGTTTCATAATATTTGAATGAGGCAAACTAAAATAGAGAAAGGAAGCGAAAAATTTAGCAACTTTTTCATTTGTAAAGGGGAATAACTGTAGAATAGTAAAAGTATCGCTACCAAAGTTCTTACTTGATCTGTGTTTTGTATCAATAAGCATTGTGTTTAAGTTTCATAACATTTGGTCAAGGCAATTAAAAGTAAGAGAACGGAAACCAATTTTGGGATGTACGGACGTACAGATGGACACGGGTAAAACACAAATATACACAAATAAATTCAGTTTTATCTTGCCAGTTTTTACTGGACTAGTGCAAGTTTTCTCAGTGCTCCAACTATTGATTAAGTGGTAATTTATTAGCATTGGTTTGTTCAAAGTCAGTTGTTTTTATTGAGCATAATAATTTGCAACACATACATTAACTCTTGTAGGTTGATTGATTGATTGATGTACAGTCGCAAATATTTCATGCATATTTAGAGCAAATATAAAAATACAAATAGTCAATTTTGTTCAGTTACATTCCTTGTTTACAAAGTAAATTTTTCTTTTGCACTAATAAATTGCAGTGATGACTTTATATTTTAATAAGGTATCAGGGATTCATGGTATCGCAGGTACATGTACGGCTTCATGCAAAAGTGGTTTCAGGGCTTTTAGAGAAGTACTGTTTCATTTTTACTTCAAAACAAAAGGACGGATTCTGTAATAATATAATTGGATTTATATTTAAATAACATGTGATTGGTTTTCTGAAAAAAAAATCTAAAGGGAGCTAACATCAAAAGTCGAAAGATATAAACAATTCACCAAAGTTTTATGGGAAATTGTGAAAGCAGGTTGTATTTATTGTACGACGTGTTAACGACACACAGATGGTCAGACAACGGTATTCCATAATTCGTCCCGTCTAAAACAGAGTCGTATAAAAAATATTAAGCTGAAATCTTGAATCATTAAATTTTTTAAGTTTGTCTGATGTTTGGTTGAGAGTTAAAAAGTACTATTTCCAACGAAACTGTTAATCTGGCCGGAGTAAAGTAATTGCAGGAAACCTAAAAAATTAATTCAGTGACTTAATACACTGACTCCTGTAATTGAGGGGGGGACATGAGATGATTCCCACATCCCTCCCTCTTACCATTTTTTTTGGTGAAGCATAAATTATCCCTTTTTCACTACCATATCGTCACCTGGTTCCCGCCCGACTATCAATTCCCTCCAACCTACATCCCTCTCATTCCCAGGCTTTGATTCCAGAAAAGTGTCCACCCAGTAGCAGATCTTGGATGAAGGTGGTTTCGGGGTTGGAATCCTGTTTTTGAAAGATCAATGCATTTAAATGGGAAATATGGCTGGAACACCTCCCCCCTAATATCCTTGGTTGGGAACCCCATTTAAAATTACTGGATCTGCCCCTGCTCCCCTTCGTATTTTTATCATACATTGCACTGTGATATATCTTATTTTATCTTATCTTATCTGTATGTATCATACAAAAATACTGCGACTTTTATGAAGCAAAATTCCAAATAAAAAAAAATGAATCAAATAGTTATAACCTCGAGGGTACAACATAATCTAAGTAAAATCTTCAGACACCATATAAAAAAAATGAATCAAAAAGGTACAACAGAATCTAAAGGAAATCTTCATTATTAATTCGAGACATTGTCATACTTATTAATTACCACTATACCATGATTACAGCTAACAGTTATGTAGACTGCATGACCTCTAATACCTTCGATATCAATAAATTAAATGATATATTTTACAGAATGGAGAGAAACCTATTGTGACTGATATATAAAACCTTTCCATCATTATTTACAGCATGTTTTTAACATAAATATACTGACCATGATGGATAGCTTAGTCGATTCTGAAATTGAGGGGTGTAATGTGTGCGAACCGTTTGCATCGGTCAAAGGAAAATTTCAAAAATGATTACATAACTGGAGATAAAACCTATTGCGACTGATATTTAAAACCTTTCCATCATTATTTAAAGCATGTTTTTAATATAAATTTTTAATATAAAT